AGACGGGGTTTCACCATATTGGCCAGGCTGGTCTTGAACTCCTGACCTCGTGATCCACCCGCCTCGGCCTCCCGAAGTGCTGAGATTATAGGCGCGAGGCAGATGATAGGGGATTTTATAGCAGCAAGCTGCAACTTGAAGTTTCTGGACCTTAGGATCTCCCACTCCATTAAAATATTTCATCAACCAAAATGCTTTTATATTACTGATGTAGAGCAATGTAGTATTGTATTTTGGGAGATAGAAGATTATTAAGAATGGGAGTTATTTCTGTGTAAATAAAACTCTATTTTGGTTATCTTTCATCCTTTCAAATTTTTGAAAGTAAAATTTTAATCAAATGCATGTGAGTTCCTTTTTTTTTTTTTTTTTCTTTTTTGAGATGGAGTCTTGTACCTCAGTCTCCCAAAGTACTGGGATTACAGGCGTGAGCCACCATGCCCGGCCCTGTGTGTTTTTCAAATTGATTTTTAATAGATTTTTCATGCCACACTCCTTCCTTCTTTCCTCTATTTTTTTTCTGTCTACTCGCACTTAAATTTCGGTTTTAAAATGCTCCTCCAATCTGATATTTAAATGTTTAAATAACAAGAGAAAGACATATCATTGTAATGTAATTCATAAGTAATATTCTTTTCTGATTATTTTTTCAGTATTTATTTGCTGGTCTAAACTTCATGTTCTGACTATACTATAGAATTTTTTTAAATGTTTTTTGTTTGTTTTTTTGTTTGTTCATTTTTTTGATACGGAGTCTCGCTCTGTCACCCAGGCTGGAGTGCAGTGGTGTGATCCCGGCTCACTGCAACCTTCACCTCCCGGGTTTGAGCAATTCTTCTGCCTCAGCCTCCCAAGTAACTGGGACTACAGGCGCACGCCGCCATGCCCGGCTAATTCTTTTGTATTTTTAGTAGAGACAGGGTTTCACTGTGTTAGCCAGGATGGTCTCGATCTCCTGACCTCGTGATCCACCCGCCTTGGCTTCCCAAAGGTGGGATTACAGGCTTGAGCCACTGTGCCAGGCCTTTTTTTTCGAGACTGAGTCTCACTCTGTCACCCGGGCTGGAGTGCAGTGGCGCCATCTTGGCTTACTGCAACCTCTGCCTCCCGGGTTCAAGCAGTTCTCTGCCTCAGCCTACCTAGTAGCTGGGATTACAGGCATCTGCCATGCCCAGCTAGTTTTTGTATTTTTAGTAGAGACAGGGTTTCACCATCTTGGCCAGGCTGGTCTTGAACTCCAGACCTTGTGATCCACCCGCCTTGGCCTCCCAAAGTGCTGGGATTACAGATGTGAGCCACCGCGCCTGGCCTGAAATGTTTTTATGATGGTATGCATCATTATAATTTTCAAACCCCTAGTAAGTAACCAACACTCATTTTGCCTAAACCCAAAATAGCAACGGAGGCCCTTTTAAGAATGACAAGTGGTAGGCCCTGGCCAAATATAGCAAATCATTTTAGATCTTTCAGAAATAACAGGTGAACTTTTCAAAAGACATAGTAGATTGGACTCATGTCTACTTCCTGCTCTCCTAAAACCCCCATAAAATAACACTAAATGGGTTTTTAAAGGTGTAAACCCACAAAGATGAGAACAGTCTGAAAGACAATGGCAGCAAAAGTTGGGAAGTTGGAAAAAAGAACGAGCAGTAAATAACATAACAGAACCCCAAGCCAGCTGTGGGAAAGCCATAAGCCAACCTTGTACCATAGAACTTCCAAAAGTCTGGCAGCATCAGCACCTGTGGAAATGAGGTTGAAAGCATTACTAAACTTGGGAAGACTGGTTGAAATCTGTTTAAGAAGAATGCAGATACCCCAACCCCTACCCTATATCCCACAGCTGGGTAATTATTTTTCCCTACCCTGGCAAACATTGGAGGCTTACTCTGGAGAGGGAAATAGGGGCTCTGTGGACTGAGGAACAACAAATACAACTGAGGCAGAGGTCCCATAATGAAAACAGCATGGTGAAGTGATGTCAGTGTGCTGAGTGCTAAGATTCCCAGCCCTCTTATTTCACTGGTTACCAGAAAGCTAGCAATCGGGCCTTCACTCTCTAAGCAGGAAATCAGAGGATCTTTCTTTGGAGAAGCGGGTAAGTTTAAGAGAAGAGACCAATTTAAATGGCCCAGCCAAGATAATCCTCAGTGAGGGTAAACAGGCAACAGACTCCACTCATAAACTGAGAGCTTTTAATCAGCCATTCAGTCCCGTATCTGTAAATGTGATGGAACAACAAAGAATGTCAGATAACTAATAATCTAACAGACCTGAACTCTTGAAAGATAAAGACTAAAGCAAACACAAGAAGGTGACATGGAGGACCAGACTACACAGGGCAAGGTCTGCTTCTAGAATTCCTAATAGTACATGGGGGTTCATTAACCTTTTTCTCTCCTCTTGCAAATGTTTAAAAATTTCCATTATAATTTTAAAAACGTATTATAAACATAAGATATTGTAACAATAAAACAATAATAGCATACTATAAAAAAGAAACACTCAGAACAATAAGAGCTCTTAAAAATTAAGAAGACCTGAGTGTGAGCAATTTATTAATTTATAAAAAGAAAAAAAGTGAAAAAGCAAAATAAAAATAAAATACAATAAAGGAAATTAAAATGCCATAAAACATTTAGAAGTTAAATAAGAAATCTCCCAGAAAGGAGGTCAGAAAGATAAGAGATGGAAGAAAATGATTTTTAACCTCGAATCCCATATCTAACCAAACTATCAACCAAGTTTGAGGACAGAAAAAAGACATTGACAGACATCCAAGATTTCAAGTGCTCTTTCTCAAGAAACTGCTAAAGGATGTCCTCATCAAAAGTAATCAGTGAAAGAGAAAGACATGAGGTATAGTTAACATTCTGTTCGATTTAGGAGTGCAGGGACTCACCAGGACAATGGTGAAGGGACCTCCTAATGTGAGACTACAGGCAGCATCTGGGTGAAATTTCTTTAGGAAGGTGAAATTGAAAGGATGTCTGATGCAAGGGGATTGCTTAGGAGAAAGATTTAGACCACACGTCTGCCTGCCCACTGCCTGTTTTTTAAATAAAATTTTATTTGAACACAGTTACTGTGTATTGTTTATACATTGTCTCTGGCTGCTTTCATACTACAAAGACAGAATTGAGTAGTTGTGACAGAGATAGTATAGCTTGTGTCAACTTTAAATAAGATTCAGGAAATATGTCAAATGTAGAGATTATTAGAGCACAAAGCTTGAGGACAGCCACCCAGGAAGCACAGATTCCAAAAATTGGAAGTCAGTATTCCAAAGTGTAGAAGTTTGGGGTTGTTTATATAGACAAGGTTTAGGGAAGCTTAACAAAATTTCAACACCTTTCTACATAAGGTTTAATGCATAGTTACAGTGATCTGATTGGGCAAGGTGGTCTTTTTCTTTCTGGAAAGGTATATTTAGCATTCCACACCGAAGGTGTCACCATCATGAGGTCTTTTGTACCATCTGGTCTGAGTTAGGTACAGGACAATAAAGGAGGTGGTTAATCTATAACAAAGGTAAGAGATTAGAAGGGCAGGAGGTCTGATCTTTGGTGTCTCCTAGTCATTTACAGAACAAGAACAATGAGGAGGAGAATTAATCTATAAGAAGCAGAAGTTGCAACTACGTGCTACGTGACTCAGATCAAGGTCACATCTCTCTCAAGATTTAAAGTGTTTTGGGGATTCCAATAGCTTTTAAATTTTATTTATTTTCATACCTGCAAAGCGTAGAATATTTTCTGTTTGGCCCTTTAAAAAAAAACTTATAAACCTGATTTAGAGCATTGATTATAGACAATTGCCTGAGAGCTTATGGTTGAATTTGTTACATGTACATGGAAAATTAAGCAAAATGAAAAATGATACATAATTGCTCAATCCAGGGAAAATAAAAAATTGGTAAAGAAAGGAAAAGTAGCCATGATTTACTCCGTGACTTAGCAATGAATATATTTACATGATTATATTAATATAAATGCCTAATATTGAGCTAACTGAAATTACTCTACAACTGTATTGGGAAGATGGGAAGAATGTGCATATGTTATGGGAATAGGAAGAGGAAAGAACTTCATCCTCATCTTCCATAGTGGGAAGTCAGTAGAGAAGGCCTAGAAAAGAAGAAGCATGGTGATAAATACCAAGATAATCAGCTGAAAAAGGCAATAATCAATTCTGGGGAGGGCAGAAATGAAGGGAAGAGGGACAGGACTCCCATTTTTTCATACAAATATGTTTTTTGCTGACTTTTTAAACTGTGTGCCTTTATATGTTTGATAAAGGGGACAAAATAAAATCCCCCACTAAATTGGAAAACAAAAAATAAAACTATTTTTCAAGGTCAGCAAATACGTAGTCCTCATGCTGCCTGTCCCCTCTCAGTCCATGGGTATCATGAATCACAATAGTGTTTCCTGGTGAGTTAGGACATGGTCTCAGGTCTTGAGCATACTGTTCCAGTAGCCACTCCCAACCAGTAAAAGTTATCCCATTCATGAAAGCAATTTCTCTGATACTACTAATATTACCAATTTGGGCTGAGTCTCTGTGCTTCTCAGACTTTCCCACCAAAAGAACATTGCCTGACATTTAACTAAATGACTGAACATCCTGATTTAACTGCATTTTAAAACTTCGTCTGTTCTAAATACCATTTCTACTTAAACCCACAAACATGGGAAGACATAGTTATTCTCTGTAGTTATTCATAGATATAATGTAATTTAATAGTATGTTTTCAGCATCTAACACTGGACCTAACATAGTAGGCTAGTAAATGTTTGAATGAATGCATAAATGAACTCTGTTGTATAGTCAACAATTTTTAATAACCAAGATACCTGAAAAGCTGAAGAAACCAACCCTTGCTAAAGCAGAAGATGATAACACAATTTTATTCAGCTTTTCATCATAAGTTGTGGTTCTGAATAATTTTGACTTCTGAATTAAAGTAGTTTTTGTTCTTTTCTTCTAACCCTTAAAAGGATCTTTCCAATTAAAGATGTACCCCTGGAAACTGATGACCTTACCACTTGGCTCTATCAACGGTTTGTTGAAAAAGAAGACCTCTTATCACATTTTTATGAAACAGGTACACAGTAACCTTTAAATAGTTGCTAAATGATAGCAACAATAATGGAAGCCTCTCTTAAAGAAAGCTGTTTGCATATTAGATCTTGAAACTTGAAAATGCACTCCGTAAATTGCTTGTGAGAAGCAAATCCCCTCATGAATCAGCTTACCCTGAGGATTATCAGTAAGGACAAAGACTATTTGAAATGCTAAAGAGTGTTATCACGATGACCTTAGGTAATATTGCTCTATGAAGTGATCTAGCATTCCTTTCCAGAAACGAATTTAAAGACATCTGTTTACTTTGTATCTCTTTTATTATTAAGATATATTTCATAAAGCATATTGCCTTTTGAAAATAATGTCAGTGTTATACAACTACTTTTTTGACAAAAAACAATTTGTAAATAGAGGAATCAGCATAAAGTATGCTATTTCAGAAATTATTTCATATCAATCTCACATAATCCTGGGTCCTGACCACTGTGGGAATCTCTAGGGATCCAGCAGAGACAAGGCAACTAGAGTGCCTGTTCTCATGCAGATTATATTCCAGTGGGAGACGTGGCAAACACGTCTGCAAAAAGAAAGAGAATCGGGATCATGACCAATTGGGAAAAGTTCCAGGAAGGAAATAAAGAGATGGGAAGGGGAGTATTTTTTCTGATATGGAAAGGATGCACATGAGCCAGCTATTCACTAAGTGGAGGAGGAGAGCATTGCAGGCAGAGAAAAAGCGGAGGCTCAGATGCAAGAAGGGGCTAGGTAGTATGGAAATTATATTTCAAGTAAAATCTCTCCTCTGGGGCCCTGGAAAGTCACTGAAGGTGCTTTAACACACACATGTACAACTCTAGTTAAGCTAATATTCAACTTTTATTCCAGGAGACCTACCGCTACAGAGTAAAACAAGCTAATATTTCTATCTTGTCTTTTAGGAGCTTTTCCACCTTCCAAGGGCCATAAGGAAGCTGTTTCCAGGGAGATGACCCTCAGCAACATGTGGATATTTCTCATACAGTCTTTTGCATTTTTGTCAGGCTATATGTGGTACAACATCATTCAGTATTTTTACCATTGCCTGTTTTAGGAATTGACGTGGACTTGTCAAGGTCACCATAGGAGTTGAGACTTTCTTTCATAAGTGTGCGTTATTTTACATGTGCAAATCAGAATATATTTAAAAAAAAAGAAAAAGAAAAAGAAATTCAATGGATGGATTAGTATTTATCCCCCTTTGGGATATTTTAAAACTCTACTAAAATGAGGATTAGTAATATAATGACCTGCTAATATATTTTAAGAACATGTTTTAAAAAGATACACTCTATCACATATTTAAGCAAACATCACATTTGGAGAAGAGGAAATCATAAAATCATCCTAGAAGACTATCTGAGAGAAATTCTGTTGCCACCAGTTACACTTGACAATTTAGTTGAAGCCCAGAAAGGTATATTCATCCCTCTTACCTGTAGTCTATATTAGGGCAGTACTCTAGAACGCCCACATTTCCACCAGCTCAGTAACCTTGAGGGGAGCTGGTTGGCACCTCGCGAAGAACTCTTTCCCTGTCATTTGCAGTAACAAACTCAAGTCTTCAACAGCTAACTGAGGTACATTGTTGACATTCTCTGGGGGAAAAGCAGTGTCCACTGGACCCCTTCTGGTACTGGATGTGTTCTTTACAAAGGCTAGCTCGATCCAACACTGTGTTTACATGCACTCGTGCTTTTCCTTATCTGATTTCTCATTTTGTATCAGAGGCATATCATAAATTGGTAATTTTACAAAATGCACTTTTTTGAGATGCAGATATAGCAAAGAATTAGTAATACAGCCTGAAAACAAATGGGAGCATAGCAGTGTGTGAGGTTCTCGAGAACTGTCTTGTCTCTGTGTGTTTATTTGCCTGCCGATGCTCTCCAGCACCATCCTGCCTTGGACACCACCCTGACGTGATCCCTCTGTTGCAGCTCAGAGGCTTTATTTTTTCCATTTTGACATTGGCACTAAATGCATTTGGGGATGGTTGAAACAAATTAATATAGAACATTTAAATGATCAGTTTAAGGGGAAATAGGCTAGTTTATAGAAAAATAAGAGCTAGTGGCCTATAATGGTGACTGGTTCTCCTGTGGCACCCCAAGGACCTGTGCAGACAGTGGTCTGTTGAATCATCACATCAAGGAGCTGCACCTGTCAGGGTGAGTGTAATTAGGAAAGAGACCAGCACAAAAGGCTCCCCCAATCTCTTCCAGTTGCTTTTTCTTTTCTTTTTTTTTTTTTTTAAGACAGAGTCTTACTCTGTCGCCCAGACTGTAGGGCAGTGGCATGATCTCAGCTCACTGCAGTCTCTGCCTCCCGGGTTCGAGCGATTCTCCTGCCTTAGCCTCCCGAGTGGCTGGGACTACAGACACCCACCATCGTGCCCTGCTAATTTTTGAACTTTTAGTAGAGACGGGGTTTCACCGTGTTGGCCAGGCTGACCTCAAACTCCTGACCTCAGGTGATCCGCCTGCCTCGGCCTCCCAAAATGCTAGGATTACAGGCGTGAGCCACTGCGCCCAGCCTCCAGTTGCTTTTGAAGAGGGTAAAGTCAAGTTTCTATTTCTAGAAAACATTTTTTAGAAATACATTGCTATGTTTGTACAATTTACCTCATAAGAGAACCACACCCTTCTCCAAAAGTGCTGGTACTGCATCAGTGAGATGAGTAGGGTTTTTGTTTGGGATTGTAAGACTATTAAGATCCTAGTAAGTCAGTGGTAGTTTACTGTGATATGAGCGTTGTAGATTCCCCCGTTGTCACTAATCACACAGATAACAATTTTGAGAAGTAGGCTATTAAACAAAAAAAGGTTAATGTTTTCTATTTTTAAATAAACCAAAAACACAGAGAAGATATGAGTTTTCCCCAGTTATGTGGGAAAGGTAAAGCAACACCAAATAAAAGCCCAGAGCAGCTTCATATTTAGGATAGCTCAGTGCGTATGTGAAAGAGAATGATGCATTAACTGAAATACCTCATTGAATATTATACTACCACTGGTAAAATGCAGAAGACAGTGTTAATGTGTTTGGTTTGGGGACTGGTTGTTATAAAATGCAATTTTTTTGAAATCTAAGCATTTCGTTATGTGTTCTACAGTGACAGTGAATAAGTGAAACCAATCTCAATTTAGAGGTATGGATGATGACAGAAAGTCCAGTAGAAGCTTAATGATGCTTCTGTTTGAGGCCCAGCAAGCACCACTAAATTACTGGATGAAATGAAATTGTTCACTTGAGGGATTAGTCAACCATCTGGGGGAGAAGTTGCTCACTGTCAAAGACAGCGTGCACAGTCCTAGCTGACAGACCTTTTCCTCATTGCTACAGCAAGCCACAGGGTAGAGTGACCAGTTCTCCTATCCAAAAATAAATGCGAACATGCATACATAAATGTGGCTGAGGGCCACTTTTGACATCACTGTGCTCCAAAGGAACATGATATTGTTAAATATACTGTACACATTAAACTATCCTATAAGATGCTTTACTTTTCAAGTGCAGTATCATTTTCACAGTCTCCAGGGTGGCAAATACCAATAGATATGTGAGTTAATTTTTGAAAATATTTTTGTGAGTTATAAATAGATGTGTATTTGATGTGCCCTATCCCTCTTTGATTATTTAACATGTTCTCTCTCTTCTATTTGCAAAATATGTTTGAAAGCATTGGTAGTGCTTTCCTTATCAGTAACTGGAGTTCTTCTGCTTTCACTAGAGAAGGTAAAGAGAGAATCAGTGTTCTTATATGGCAATTTGGGGAAGCAGCAATATGCCACTGTACAAAACTGAAGAAAAATTCCTAATTTGTACTTTGTGAAGGGAGATGAAAGGACGTTTAAAGTGTATATATTTTGTCAAGAGGAAAAAAAATAAAACTATGCCAGTTTTATATCAGTAGCTTGTAGAAGCTCAGCTCTTCTTGGTCTTGGCTAGACTGCCTAGATTCCCAGGGCAGACAAGGTTGAGAATCCATTACTGGAATCTTGGTACTGATGAGTTACAGTGATTGGAGATCTGCATGACCACAGGCAGGTCCAGTCACTACAAAAGTGACCAAGCCAGCAGGTCACCCTTAACTTCAGAAACAATTATTGGTGGTGACCTATACTTAAATGGCAGAGAGACCTATAAGTAACGGAAAGTAAAGAAAAATTACAGAACGGAAAATAATGTGTTGGGTAAGCAAACAAATTCACTGAGAATTCCAAAAGTATATTAAAAAAGAAGATAGCTGTGAGTTCAGATCTATCATATTAGTCTTTAATATTACAACCAATCCTTAACTTTCCACTGTAAAGGAAGGATTACTAGATTAATTAATTTCTGGATAGATAATCTGGTAATAAATGATAGGTAAATCAAAAATTACTTTTATTTAGGAGTTTGAATTCTTACTCTCATCAGACTCATTTTTTTTTCTAGGGATGCTTACTAATTAAATGGTTTAAGTTGTTTCTTAGGGTTTTTTTGCCTATATATTTATGACTGTGTTAATGAGTAGTGAAATTATATGGAAAGACAAACAGCTATCAGGAAGAGTAAATACAGAAGCCTGAATAATCTATGGGTTAGAAAAGCATCCCTGAATAATCAATAGTTGACAGTATTGGCATTGTTCTCAAGCCTTTTTATGAAAATGAAATCTGAAATCACCAAATGTAAACCTGGGAGCATTATTCGAGCATTACTGTCTTGGATTCATGTTAAGAATGCCTCTTCATTCTTTGCTCATGTTGCTCACTTCTTGTGGATTTGTCTGAGTGTTTTTTGACAATCACTTCCCTAAAGACTCTTCTGAACTAGTTGGACCTGGCTAATCATACAGAGTAGCCTTTAATCATGGATAGTCTTCTTGGATTATTTTTATATTTGAAAAGAAAATGTTTTATTTGCACTACTGAGTAGGAAGAGTTAATTGTTTTTTTGTTCTTTTTTTGAAGTCATTACACAGGACTTTACTCCAGAGTTATCATTATGAGTGTGTTCAGCTCTGGTCCACAGAGGATGGATAAAAATGGTTTGTTAGGTTCTTTTGCTCTGCAGTGCTATGAGCCTTATATCTGTTAACATGAAGAACAAAGTCAAAAGCAGCAGTGGGCAGCAGGAAGGGTAGAGACTAATATGTTTGGGACCAAAACCATCTAAGTTAGAGATTTCCAGATCGCAGAGGGGCTGGGTATTCTCTGGAGCAGTCATTGGTTGGTGCTTTATTGTAATCATTTTGCACCACTCCCCAACAATTAGGAACTGGACCCTGGGAATAAGCTGAGGGTGCTGAACTGTTGGGGAAGGGTGACTGTAGCCATATGGAAGATAAAATATGGGTTTTTCTGCAAAATTTCCATCTGAGGGTTTTTACATTTAATATTTTTTTAAGACAGTTTAAAGAGCAAACATTTTTTAAGTGTATTCTAGTTGCAAAGTATGCACACATATCTTGAATGGCTTTATTTTTATTGTGTAAAACTGTTGAACACATGACTGTGATGCACACATTCTTTACGTGTAAGGAGTCTATGCATTTTACAGTAACTTATTTTATGATTGAGTGATGAAACAGTTATACATTCAACTGCCATTATTTTTATTAAGTGCTTTCATTTTCTTTACAATTATTACAAAATTGTATTTATTTTATACAGATGGGTTTTCATTTTCCTGATGCTGTAATGTTTACTTCAGCTTGTTGACCTTTCTTTGTGTTATCTGCATGTTGTAACGTGTGATAAGAATGAATGTAAAGGCTGTGGCAACTGTAATTAATTTTTGTAAAGGGCTGGTCACACGTGGATCTGGTTTATGAATGCATTTGGGGTGATTTTAGTAACCAGATCACCTTTTCAGAAGTTTAGACATGAACACCAAAAGAAGCGTTTTCTCAACAAAAATTAATAGCTGGTTCTATTTTTTTTAAACCTAGAAAAAATAAAGTTGATTTTTTTTCAAGTAAAGTGCTTTTAATTCTTAGTAGTGGGGAGAGGGCATGTGTGTTTTACCAGAGCTATTTGGGCATTAACATCTGCAGGCAGGTACTTAAAGCTCACTGTGGCAGTTGGATGCTGAAAGCAAACTGAAAAACCAAATGAAAAAACATCAGACTTCCTTCTTTGGTTTAAAAATATTTCCCCCTTTCTCCCCATTCTCCCAATCCAGTGGTGTGCTGGTAAATGTTTAGCAGTCCACTCTTCTGGGAAGAAATTATGCATTCAGCTGTACATGTTTGTTGTAAATTTTGCTGATAGCAAGAACATATAACACAATTAACAAATAATAAGATATAAATACTTTATTGTAAATCCCATATAGCCAATTGATTCTCACAGTATACTTGAGATATATATGTCTCAAGTATACTGTGTATATATATGATTCAATTTTAATAACCAATGCTTAACAACTGCAGGCAAAATTCTAAAATGTAACCATTGGCTCTTGGGAGCCAGTAGGGGCTGTATCCAGCTCAGGAAAGAACTAAAATGCTTTTTTAAAAGGATGCTTAATTGCTTTTTGCTGAACTACTACAGTCAACCTATGATTGATTGTATTTCAACCATGATTTGAAAAACAGCAGACCATCCTAATCTAACTCATTTCCCAATGAATTTATTGTCATTCAATCTGATATGTGCTCTACTGTTAAAACTGTTTCTTACCATAGTACATATTAGACTTATTAAGCCGAAACCACTTTTAGCTTTAACATTAGTTGTAAATTTATATGATTCAATTTTAATAACCAATGCTTAACAACTGCAGGCAAAATTCTAAAATGTAACCATTGGCTCTTGGGAGCCAGTAGGGGCTGTATCCAGCACACCACTGCCCCATCCTTTTTTTCTTAACTATTAGTGTTGAATAAACTTCTCATAGTTATGTACTTGCTGAACTCAGGAAATTCCTATCACTGACCCTGGCAAGGGCTTTAAAGGGTAGGAAAAGCATTAATGTCAGTCCTACACAGCGAACTTTTGATTTTGAAGAATGTGATAGAAAGAAAATGTTTACTGAAATACATGGGAAGCTTGCATATTTCTAAAGTCAGCTTTATACTTTCATTTCTCAAAGCTAAGTAAACTGTGGTATAGGCATCTCTAAGATGTTAGCATTTAAAACATCAATTGTTTAGGTATTTGTAGACCTTATTTGATCCCACTGAAAATTTTAAATATTAAAATACCTTGCACAGTCTACCAAATGAGTTAAATTGTTACAGTTGTGTCTACCTCTTATTTTTCTATCTGTATTTAGGCTGCTGTTTTGGTGAGATTCTAATTTCTTTTTCCCCTGGAACTACTTTCTGTGGAAGACAAGGAACAGACTGGGGACAGAAGCCTGAAAACAAATTGGAGGCACTCAGAGATCTGTTGCTGACCAGCCCTATTCCTCATGAGTTGGCGGAGGGGGAAGCCATTGTTTTTAATTTCCACTTAATATGAAAATGCTTGTTTTTAAAATGTTTTTTCCTGCTGAACAACTGTATTTTTAAAAGGAAAAAAATTCTCTTTTGGCTCTAAGAAGTCAGCTGTATGAGCAGGCGTGACCATATCATAACATGCTGATATGATAGAAATCAATAAATTTTTACCTCTCAGGATCTGGGTAACCTTGTTCTTAACTCTTAGAGGCTTGAGTAACATAAACCAAGTCTCAACAGTTCAAATCACATAGAAACAGGCACACACATGGAACGTGGGAGGAGGGTTGGCTAACCGCTGGAAATGAGATGGGCCCCTTTCATAATCGGAAAAGCACTCTCTAGTAGGTACAAAGGAAGAAACTGGAACAATGTTTTCTACTGGTGAGCAGGGAGCATATCACAGAGCTCATTTCTGAGTTTTTGCCTGGAAAGATTTTAGTGCCCCACTCTGGAATACTTTTTGCCTTTTGGGTGTGGGAGCACTGGAGATGGAGATGGTAAAGTTCTCACTGTTCACTTACCCAAGGCAAGAGAACACTCAGCCATTCTTTGATTGTAGCAGCTGTCTGTGTGGTGTCATTGAAAAAACCTGGCACTAGGATACTTCCCTTAAAATATCAGTGGTTGCATCTTTATTCCTTTGTTTCATTTTTGATGGAAAAACTCCCTGAAAGGGGTCTTACCTTCAGTTTCTTGCCAGTGGACACTGTATCAGGACCAGCTGATGGACATTTGAGGGAAACGCAAATAGGTACCTAGAAGTGGAGAGATCAGAAGAACTTGGAGTGCTAGGAAGAGGAAGCCAGGAGTGTTAGAGGACAAAAGGAAGACCAGAGGCTGCTGTCCACAAACAGGTACACACATCCTTGATACACAAAGACTTCCAAGGAAGAAATCAACTTCCATGAGAACTCTGACCTAAGAGTGCCTTCCCTGGGAACTCACCTGTAAAAGATCCCACCTCCCATTTCAGATAACTGCCCACTTTACGGAGGAAAGGCAAAGGCATACCTTAGCCAGTAGGGATGCCCCTCCAGGGTAACAAACAAAGGGACAATTCAAAATATTGATGACACAGAAGCTTCTTTCAATCAAGGAATCTTAGCCCACAATCAGGCTTTTTGTCTTTCTCTGATTTATGCATGTTTCAGTAAGGACAAAGGATGGCATCAGAAATGGTGCATTTGGGCCTGCATTGGCTGTATTGAATTCTGATATATTTAGTGTGGGACAGTGACAGCAATGGCAGCTCAGGACTCAGAGAAGTAGAAGGTACCAAGACTTCTTATGGCGTAGGTTCAAACTGGCACAGAGTCACTTTTGGTGCTACATTCCTTTAGTTAATATGTCACAGAGCCAGTCCGGATTCAATATGGGAAGGTCTATAAACGGATAGAATACTATCGAATACTGAGAGGCATGTTTCATTGGGAGCTGTCTTTGAAGATCAGCTACCACAGTTTAAAAAAAAAAAAAAAATTCCTAAACTATTTGAGTAAAGAACACTAGATGAGTCTAAAAGAGTTCTTGCCCTTTGGCAGGCTTGCCCATAATTTCCATTAGTTAGAAATATTTTGAGTTCCCAAATACTTTAAGAGGATTAGATTTGTTGATCCATCCCTCATACATATAAGTCACATTAATCAAATGGACACCTAGCTAAAAGAATAGAGGTTTTGTTTGGACATAATCTTTATATTATTTTTGGCACCGATTGATGCATGACTCATTGGCCCTTAGAATTTCAGAGCAAGTAGTCACCTTGTTTTGGGTTGCAGATTTCATTCTGATACAATTTTGGTACATTGCTGGTAGCATCAAATGGCTACTTAGTAAAATTGTGGGGACTAGAACCAGCTTTCTTTTATTTGCATTCATATATTTTCCCTAAAATGGCATATTGCTGTGGTTCAGATTTATGTATTTCATAAATAAGAGTTAAATCTAAAGGAACAAGTATACTTGTTAAAAGGGTGATGGATCTAGAAGCTAAAGCTTCCATAACATCCTTATCCTCAATTTTAATAACCCCAAAACCCCAAAAGATAATTTTTATTAATATTCCTCTCAGCCGCTGCAGAGATACAATTAACCATGAAAAAAGTCCAGAAATTAATTATTTTTATTTTTTTGGATGTGGAAGTGAAGTGCATTTAAAAACTTTTGCCCTATATAGTAGAAGATAAAAAGAACATTTTTATGTTAGACCAAAGGGGATACAGATTTCAATCTCATAATAGTTTCTTTCTTTTCTGAATTCTAGGTGTGAAACTAGAATGTGTAATAAGTTCTAGGCCACGATTGCCACTAGTGCCAAAATATCCCTCTGTCATGGCGCCATCAAGTTTTAAGGGCTTGTCCAAGTAGGAGCCCAAGAGCAGCAGAACCAGGGACTTGAATTCGACCTTGGCCCTTTGGCAAGTTTCTTATCCTCTCAACCTCACTCTCCTTATGTGTTAAATGGGAAACGCTCAAAGACTTCTTTTCTTTCCTTCCTTCCTTCCTTCCTTCTTTCCTTTCTTCCTTTTCTTTCTTTTCTTTCTTTCTCTCGCTCTATAGCCCAGGCTGGAGTGCAGCTGCGCAATCTTGGTTCACTGCAACCTCCGCCTCCCGGGTCCTGGTTCGAGCAATTCTCCTGCTTCAGCCTCCCAAGTAGCTGGGACTACAGGTGCGCACCACCATGACTGGCTAATTTTTGTATTTTTAGTAGAGATGGGGTTTCACCATGTTGGCCAGGCTGGTCTTGAACTCCTGACCTCGTGATCCACCCACCTCGGCCTCCCAAAGTGCTGGGATTACAGGCATGAGCCACCGTGCCCAGCCAAGACTTATTTTCAGTATTAAGTGAGATTGTATACAGGAAGCACATAAGACACTGGCACATTATACCGAATGTGCAGTAAGAAAACTGTTTTTATCCCACCCCAACTGGGTTTAACAGAGGATGTAAATTATTCTCATATTGAGATGTGCCTAAATTCCAAGTGATGTGTTCCATGCATACCCAATGCAGTGGTTCGTGCCTATAACCCCAGCACTTTGGGAGGCCAAGGCAGGAGGATCACTTGAGCCCAGGAGTTTGACACCAGGCTGACAGGAGATCAGCCTGGTCAACATGGTGAAACCACGTCTCTACTTAAAAAAAAAAAAAAAATTAGCCAGGCATGGTAGTGCATACCTGTGGTCCCAGCTACTTGAGAAGCTGAAGTAGGAGGATCACTTGAGCCTGAAAGAATTGAGGCTGCAATGAGCTGTTATCATGCCCTAGGTCCCTTGGGTTTCTAAGTTAGATACATGCAATCAGCATACCCAAATCCTTAGCCCTGCACTGTCAGACTATATTTAATATATCTAAGGCTCTAGACAGCAGTGAGAAAAAGCTTTGAGGTTGGAGCGCCAATTAGGAAGGTGAGGAGACTAGGGCATAAAGAGGAAATCAGATCTGCTAGACAAGACATTACATAGGCTTAATAGGGACCTATTTTTGCTTCTGAGACATTATGTCTCTTGTGGTGAAGACCTTGA